GTCAAGCTCCCAGGTGATCCCTGTGGTGCTAAAACCTGGACCACTTTGAGTAGGACAAGTAGGACGAGTCTGGAGGCAACATTCCTGTGACTGAGCTCCTAGGGTTCATGTTTAAACCAGAATTGACCCACCCTCCCTGCTATCCACAGGAGGTAGGCCAACTGCCAGCCAACTGTGGAAGGGCACAAAAGAAATGCACTCATACGAAAGACAGCACTCCCCTCCATTGCTGTCTTATAAAATAGAGTTTCTGATGAATGCTGCTATGTGTCTATGGTTACCAGTTTCATGACCCTGCTCAAAAGACCTGGAAAAGACCGGGTGGTTGTAAGGTTATTACTATACTTAGGCAGCCAGGTGGAAGGATGAGGCAGAATCTGATATTTGCTTTTGTTGGCAAAACAGGTGCCATGTGTCCCTTGTCCCATTTCCTTTCTGTCTCTCACCTGTGTTACCACGCCCTGGCCCGATGGATCACAGCTGCTGGCAAGGTCTCCTAATCCTGTTTGTCGGTTCAGAGATGATTGAAATTAGAAGTGTCTTAACCTGTCAGAATAAATAAAACTGCCTCCAGAAGTCTGGCTGAAATGTACTGGACTAAAAAGTCCTGGGGGTTTTATAGTGAAAATTCAGCAGTCTTCATAGCATGAAGCGCAGACATGCTCAGCTTTGAATTGTGCTCTAATTTAGGGACTTCTAAAAAGACGGTATTGCTAATGCTACATATAGATTTTTCTCATGAAGTTAAAACATTTGCCTGACCTTGAAACGTGGAATTGTGCATTTGGAAAAAGATGTTTGAAATACTAAACTTAAAAATTGTGTAAAAAGCTACAGACTTTCAGGTGATGTTTAATTCTATTTTTAATCCACAATTTTGGGCTCGAAGTTGACCCTCTGTAGTCACATAATGAGGTCAGCGGCCATGGAACTTTTATGCTCTGTGCTGTCCCCTCCAGAGGCAAGGTCCTTGTTGACTGTTTAAGGATTTGCCAGTTGAATGGGACGACTGACTGACAGGTCTTCCCTGCCCATTTCACCTCTTGCTTGTTTCCTGTCCCACCGGTGCTGCTCGGCCCTGATGTGGCACACGGCTGAGGGACTGATGAGGTTTGGAGGGTACCTGCGGGTAAACGGAAACAGCCTTTGGTGGCCAAGGGCAGCTAGCCAGGGGCTTTGAGGGATCAGCAGCTCTGACTCCTGTTTCCCGGGATCATCCTGTCCGATTGGGAAGTCCTTCTTTACAACTACTATTCTGACCTTCATGGAATTAGATTTCTTCATTGTCCTACATGTAGTCAGTAGTCCTTTTCAGTAGAATTAATTTTTTTTTCTGTTTCTGAAAAAACTAGTAGAAAAATGTATATAGCATGATGCCCAATTTTCCAAAGTTCAGAAACAAGTGAAACTCCCTATGTTGTCTGGGGATACTTATACATGTAAAACCAAGGAAATCAAGACCATTACAAACAAAATTCACCATTAGTAGTTCTGGGGGAGGGACAGTGGGATTGGATTAGGGAGCCCACATAGAACTTAAACAGCATTGGTAACGTTTGAGTTCTTAAATTGGGTATTGGGTAGAGTTTTATAATTATATGCTTTATAAACCACACATATATTTTTTCTTTTGATAGTATATTTCATAATGAAGATAAATTAACAGGTAAGGGATATTTAGAAAAGGTCTTGGCACAATCTCGCTCTTGCCCGTCATCGTATTATTTTAAAATTATAAAAATAATACAACTGTACTAAGGAAAAGTAAGGGAGAGCATATCTGTAACACCAGTCCCCTTATACAATTACTGTTGTTTCATTTATTTTCTTCCAATCGGAATGTTTATGTTCTCAGTTTTGGTAATGGCATCTGTCACTGTGTATCTATATTGCTTGCTGGACTGATGGTCTTTATAGCCCTTTGTTTTAATGGCTGAATAATATTCCCACAAGTGGTTAGTAGCATAATGTACTAACCATTCCTCTTTGGTGGAATATTCAACTTTTTTCAATTTTTCTGCTATTACAGAACATCTTCAAGTTTCTTGCATTCGTTCCACAAGTAATTTATGTATGTGTAAGGCATTCTGCTATGTGCTAGAATTATAGTAATAAGCAAAAAGCCATAGTCTCTGTCCTTGCGGAATTTAGAATCTAATGGCTAACAGTTCTTGATTATATCTTTGCATTTTAAGCACATTAATCCTCAGAATTTCAAAATTTTTTTTTTTATTTTTGAGAGAATAGTAGATTCACATGCAGTTGTAAGAAACAATATGGAAAGTTCCCATGTATCCTTCACCCAGTTTCCCCAATGGTAACATCTCACATAATTCCACAGACAGGAAATGGACATTGATACAATCCACCAGCTTTATTCAGATTTCAACAGTTTTAAGAGTTTTATGTGTTGTGTGTTTGTCTATGCATATGGGTTTTCTGTGCGCTGTGCAGTTTTATTACGTGTGTAGTTTGGTGTGACCACCACCACAGTCGAGACGGAACATTTTCGTCACAGGGACCCATCATGCTACTCTTGTAGTCATGGCCACTTCTCCCCCACTCTCTCCCCCTCCTTGACCCCTGACAACCACAAAGCTGTTCTCTATCTTTATAATTTTGTGGTGTAAAGGATGTTATATAAATGGTACAGTAGGACTGGATTTTTTTCACACAGCATAATTCTCTTGAGATCCATCCAAGTTGCTGTGGGTATGCATAGTTTTTTCCTTTATATTGTTGAGTAATGCTTCATTGTATGGAGGTATCATGTTCCTACACCTGTTGAAGGACATTTGGACTGTTTCCAGTTTTGTGCTATTATGAATAAAGCTGCTATGAACATTTCCTCAACCTTTATTTTGATGATTATACATAAAAGGAAATTAGTAAGACTTCAGGCCTCTGTACCTCAGCCACCAGTGTGTATGCCCACATTTGGGGTGTCTTTGTAGAATCCAAAGTAAGCCACTGATTAATGCTATGGTGTTCTGGCTTTAATATTTAATATTTTGTGTCTGAAAATATGTTAATATAGCTAAACTGTTTTTGTTTATGTAATAGTGAAGCACATCCTACCACCATCTTTATTATCCTTTAGAATTTATGAGGGTAAAATCTTGATTTTCTGTTGAGCTGTTTGTCCCTTGAGGAATGAGGACCCATCTGAGTCTCATAATACAAAGAAGTTGCTCCGTAGACATTTGTTCAATGAATGATCCACAGAGTTGACTGAGGATATTTAGAAAGGATGAGATACACAGAGGATAGATAAGGTACACTTGGGCTTCAAACCGAATGCTTTGATCTTACTCCTTAGTTCCAAATATTAAATAATCTCCAGATTTTTAAAGTCTCTTTCAAAACCAATGAAAACCAGGGCGCCTGGGTGGCTCAGATGGTTAAGCATCTGCCTTCGGCTCAGGTCATGATCCCAGGGTCCTGGGATCGAGTCCCGCATCGGGCTCCCTGCTTGGCAGGGGGTCTGCTTCTCCCTCTGACCCACCCCTCTCATGTGGTTGCTCTCTCTCATACTCTCTCTCTCAAATAAATAAATAAAATCTTTAAAAAAAACAAACAAACCAATGAAAACCAAATAATAATGATAGCCAGTTGGGTCTGTTGTGTATTTAGGAAGAAAACTGGGTCTTGGGGCAAAGCAGACTAAGGAGGGAGGTAACTGCTCAGTATAGGAGACTTGCACTTCAAAAGAGAAGGATTTTCCCTGCCTGCCGTCTCCCATACACTGTGCTCGCACACTCGTCTGCACATGCACACACCCCACCCACCTAAGCTGCTGTTTTGCCTTATGGAAGACTCTGGTTCTGTGCATGTTTTCTGAAATCTTATGAGCCTAAAACAGAAAGGACATGGGTTATGGAGCAGAATATGTTTTGAGGTGGCTTAGTGACCTCTTTGGTTACTTGTGTGTTTATGATTTAGGTTAGACACTTAGCTGTTTAGATTTTTTTTTTAATTTCTTTTGAATGAATGGCCATGATTGTCACTTTCCAAGGAAGGCATAAAGATCAGCAACCCCCAGGGACTCAGCAAACACTATGCTGTGTGGTTGTGGCTGACCTTGGTCCCAGTGATGACTGACCTGGACCTGTCCAGAGGCTTGGTCAGTGGTAGGAGAATGCACCAGGATGATGTGTCTTTCTGGGCCTCTGTCAATGAGCCAACAGTTGGGGCTCTGGAAGACCATTCCATTATCCCAGTTTGCTCTCTTTTGCTTTTTACCACCCCCACCTGTGCCCCCATAGCTCTTAACATAAAGTCAAAAATCTGGGGATAAAGTCTATAGTCTGAGTTCTGTGTGGTCTGGTGCTTGCCTACCTCTCTGAGACCCACCTGGTGCCATGCAACGCCTTCCCCCATGCCACAGTCCACGTATACAGGCCACCTTCCAGGTCTTTCCATGGCTTCATGTTCCTGCCCACCTCCCTTCTGTGGTATCTGCTGTTTGTTCTGCCTGAAACACCATCTGCCCTCCTCCTCTCCCCCTGTATTTTTCAAGCAGTCCTGTGTACCCCTCAGATCTTGGCTTCAGTACAGCTTCCTCATGGAAGCCTTCCTGACACATCCCATGTTCTTGAGCCACTTCCACCACATGCCTCGTAGCAGCCAGCCCTTTGCCGTTCCCCTCCCCGTCTGTGATGATGCTTACGGAATTATAATTCCTGGTACCAGTGTATCCCCCCCCCCTCCTGCCCTGCCCCTCATGAAGATGATGACCGTCTCTCTGTTCCCTGTTGACTCTTCAGTGCCTGGCGCAGTGTCTGGCCATAGCATCTGCTCAGTAAATATTTGTTGAATTCGTTAATTAACTCAGGAAAATGGCCACCCCCTAAAATGCCCTTGGTAGGTTTAACACGGAATGTCTTATTTTAAGGATGGAATCTGTACCTATTTTTTAAAGATCCGGTTATGTGTTCCTGTAAAATTATTGACCTGTCTTTGAAGTTTATGACTATAATTCGCTTTTTTTTTTCTTTCAGGTGGGGACCAGGGTTTACTGAACACATTTTTTAACAGCTGGGCAACAACAGATATCAGAAAACACCTGCCATTTATTTATAACCTAAGCAGCGTTTCTATATACTCCTACCTCCCAGCATTTAAAGCGTAAGTGCAAAGGTTTAACTTGTTGGAGGTGGGCAGGGCAGGGCAGCGGAGTGGGATTTAAAATTTGGAGGGTTCCTTATGGTCATTCTGAGGTCAATAACAGGTGGGAACTTTGAGGGAAGTCTTTCTCTCATGAGAAACATGGCTGTAGTGGGGAAGGGCCTTGATGTTATCAGTTACTTTGTTTGGAGTAACCCAGAGAGCACTTAACCACCTTACAGGAAAAGGTTCCCATTCGCTCCTGGGTGCCAGGCCCTCTGTTAAATCATCCCTGTGTCATGGTCATGAATCCATAGTGGGCACAAACCCAACTTGTGGTTCCTAGTGGCTGCTAGGCTTCAGTTCGCATCCCCCTAAAATGAGGATCTTAACGGCTTTCTCTGTGGTTATTGTGGAGCTGAAGCAAGCTGCCAGCAGCAGGGTACGGTCCCAGTGCAGAGCAGGGGCTGTGGAGTCCAACTGCTCAGTTCACACTCTGGAGTAGCTTCTTCCTGGCTGGTTACTCATTACTGAACTTCTCTGCCTCGGTGTCCTCCAAAACTAACTGTGATCATTAAGGGAGGTGGTCCTATGAAGTGGGTAGAAGAGGGCCTGGCCTACCCTTAGCACCAGTAAACGTCAGATTATTAGTCCTTTTTGTTGGAGAGGTGGTCTGGCAGTAGGCGTGATCTCTGAAGCCAGAAAGGCAGGGTGTGTCTTCTCACTCTGCCATTTACCTACGCTATGGCTTAGCCTCTGTGCCTCAGTTTATCCATATGCAGAATGACAAGGGGAATCAGACCTACCCCGCAGAGTTGTCATGAGGATGAAGTGAATTCACACAGGCATAAAGCGCTCAGCAGACAGCTTGTTTTTGGCAACATTGCTTGTTTGGCAGTCACCCTGGGGTGGTTCTAACTCAGCAGTTAATACAACCTACTTGCAGGGCTGGTCTCACTGAGCAGGGCCCGGGCCCTGTTCTTTAGCCTCTGACTCATTTGTGTTGAATGAAGATGATGATTCAGGTTTCTTGAACGGAGGCCAAGCTGTCAGGTTGATCCTGAGACACAGGCGTGAGCAGCCAAGCTCTTCACTGAGTTGGGCTCGGCTCTGCAGTCTCTGTCCCGCATGGGCATTCCTGGGCACACAGAACACAAAGGGCCTTTCACTCCTCATATTTCATTATCCAGAGTCCTCTCTTTACGTCTCTCACCACAGTAATGAGCACATCTGGCTTTTTGTGGGAGAAGTGTTTCCTTTTCTGTTCTTTTCTGGGCAAACTCTGTCAACATTCCCCCAGATAAGGATTATAAGTGTCTTGTGTTCTTTCCTCCCTAACTGTTCTCTTGACATATGTGTCTGACGTATTATAGCCTCTTGATAGTCCTCCCTCTCTAGAATGAAGCAGGCAAACTCTCAAATATACCAACTGTCCAAGTAACACAAATAGAGAAAGATTCACTATCAAGGGGTGGATTTGGAGAAGCATTTTTTTTTAGCCTCTCTGTCCTTGGTCTTGTCAAGTACCAGCCTGTCTTGCTTGGAAATGTGGGCCTGATTCTTTCATTCTTATTGCCTCATAACGAACCCTGCAACTTTGAACAGTGCTCCCGCAGACCATGATCCCCCAGAACTGAATTTGTGATAATAGGGAAGTTGGTTAACGTAACTGACTAGACTCCATTGAGCAAGCAAAAAGATGAGGGCGAAGGAGAAAGAATCATTACCAGTCTGAGCAATTCTACCCACCATTCCAATTAATTCTGCCCAGTGAACACGTGTCCTGGGATGAATATGTTGGGGAGACGTGAATCTGATCTCCTTCCAGTTGGTCTCAGTTCCCAAACAGAGTCAACTCTAGTGTTTAGAGATTTGTGTTTTTCATGTAATGTGGCCCCCGGTGCCTAGCAACTCTCTCCTCTATGGTTCATTTGGACTCCATCTGATTTTCACCATAACACCAAAATTGAACACACTGCACCTTTCAGTGATCACCTGGTTTGCGCAGACACTGCATTTATTTTGTTTTGACAAGAACAAGAAGCAGGTAGAGCAGAGTTATGGTTTTCTTTTGGCGGGACGGGCGGTGGGGGGAGGGAGATAGACTTATTTGTCAGAACCAGGGCCCCCTCTCTCCAGATCCCAGTTGTTTTTATATCCTCTGAATGAATTTCCCAGAAAAATAGCTTGAGATCTAAATGACCAGAATGGTTAGGATGGTTTCTTCTTCCCGGCTCAACAAATTAGTGCTAATTTTGGAAATCTTCTTGGTTTATTGCCATAACCATAGAGCATATGACACACTGGGGAGGTTGGGAGCAGCTCCCTCCACTAGCTTGCCATTGGCTGGCCCGTGGCCCCACAGGAGCTCCTGCCGCCCCTGTGCAGCCTGCCCTTGGGGGTGTCCACTCTGCACTCTGTGATAAGACTTTTCAGAGTGCTGCTTTGTCTCACCCCATTGCTGCCTATTTGGGAATGTTGAAACTCCATCAAAGAACTCCTTTTTCCCTTCCCTCTGCCAGAAAATGCCTTTGTTTTTCTTGCAGAGATCCATCTCTGGAGACATTTTTCATACCACTGGGAAGGGCTCAAAAGACAGTTCTATTCCTTTTTTTTGTTTCAAGCGAATGTAAAATTATGACCCAGATCTCTTAAGCTGAAGTAGATGATCATGAACGTTTGGGTTGCAATACCTACTCCACAGATTGCCCTGTGGACCTCTGGGAGCTCATCATGAATGTGATGCTCCATTGCTGGGCTCAGAATCACCTTATGGGTCTCCAGGACTTAGTGGCCCTGTGGCGTGCTGGTCTTCCCTAGGACAGCATGTGGGTGGTGGCAGGTAGAGTGAGAAACTGGGGAGTGGTTCAGAACAACTTGGGCTTGGTAGAACAAGTGAGAATTTGTCTTACCAGCTCCAAGCAACCCTGTGCCATGAGGTCACCAAGGCAGTATTTAGATGCCCCAGAATCTTAGAACCGTAGACATCTTAAAACACATGCTGCACTTAGAACAGTGTGGTCTTGCTGTTTTATGTGAAGTTTTTGCTAAAGGATGGCCTAATATGAATCTTATTTGGCATGAATTTGAGCCATGAAGGCAACATTTCTAATGCCTTACTCGACATACCATTTGGATAGAACAAAACCTAAAGGAAACACTTAATAGTTCTATCACTTTGAATGAATACTCAGACATAGCTTCTGAAAAACAAAATTAGTCCTATTTTCTGTAATAGAAGATCCTCTTTAACACAGCATAATTTGAGAGCTAAAATGCTTGATTTAGGAACTTTTAAGGTAATTTGTAATATATGAATTGAGAAACAAGTTCAAAAATGCATTTCTTAATGAAATAATATTTCTGCAAGTGCCTAGCATAATGTTTAGGACATAGTAGGCTGTTAGTCAATACTAGTTTCTTTTCCGTTTTCTTCACCTAGAGGGCCTATTTTATTCACGTAGTTTAGAATCTGGCTTGTGCATAGCGCTAGGCAAAATCTCATCAGCCTTTTTAAAAATCAGTCATTTAGCTCCATTTTAGCTTTATAATCTATCTACTGAGTAAAAGCTGGGGGTGGCATTTTGTGCCATATAAGAGGGGCCCAAAGCCAAGAGAACGAGTTCTCTGGTATTGCTTCAAATTGCCAAATTAATTAGTGCTATTGATGACTCCAGAGCTTGTTTTACCAAATAATTTCAAAAATAACTTTATCTAAAATTTTTACTTGAGTTCAGATATGATCTGAGACCTGGCCTGGCCTAGTCTCAGATAGTGGGTCTAAAAACCTAAAAGATTTCTCTCCATTTGCTTTAAATTCTTCTGAGGATATTTGTATCCACTGTTTCTTTTTCAGGAATGTGGCTTATTCACTAAGGTCTTATCAAACCTCTTTAAAATCCATATTTTCCAAAAATGAAATGAACCTTCAGCATCCTGAATTCTGTTGTTCTTGTGTATTTCTGATTTGATTTTTTTTTTCCTTGACCCCTGAGACACCCTTGGGTCCAGCTCCCCACCGTGACTATTGTCACTGAAGCCGTAGCCTTTCTGTGTTCGTTACTGTCACATTCTTAACATCTTCACCTAAAACCCTGAGGCCTCGTAGTTTGGCTCCGTCTTATTTCTTCAGCTGTCTGTACACTCACCTGTTTGGTTGGCTGGCGGGCCCGCAGCTCGCAGAGGGCGCACAGCTGGACGAGGGAGCTCTCATCTAATCAGCCTGCGACTTCCTGCGTGTGCAGAGTTGCCGGATGTGGCATGCAGGGGTTTTGTGATTTGCGCGTGGGAGAAGGATCCAGCCGTGGTTGCCCGGCTGTCTTGTTCCTCCTTCATGGGTGTCAGAAATGCCTGTTGAGCCCCAGGGTCCCCGTGTCCGGGATGGCCTCCTGGTCATTCCGACCTCCTCTCTGTTTATCAGGCGATGGGTCTGTCCTCCGTTCTTCCTGCTGCCTTTTCCCCTCCCCTACCTCAGCCCTTAGCGCCCAGGGGAAAGCTTCCCCATGAGACCGAGCCCAGACATCAGAGGCCACCCTGGCAATGGGCCCAAAGGGCACGAGGAGTGGTATCCCCGCGGCAGAGGTCTGAGTGAGAAATGCCTTCAGGAGGAGATGGAGCTCGTGGGAGGGGAAAAGCATGTGGATTGAGTGGAAGACCATCCTCCGGGTCTCAGACTGGTGGGCTGCAGACTCCCTTTGTCCCACAGATACGTTTTGTCTCCCTTACATAGTTGTTTTTTTTTTTTTTTTAACTCAGGTGCCAATGCTTAAAAATCAGGGAATTTCACATGAAACCCAGATTTTCAACTTCTTTAAAAATATATATATATATATATATTTGGAGAAAGATGTCCAGTGACTGTTACAGGTTTGGGGCCTTAAGCAATTGGAAAGATGGGGGCAAGCAGGTTTGTGGAGGCAGGGTTTGACCAGAGATGGATTGAATGTATCCAGTTTGGGATGCATTAAGCTTGAGGTACCTGTGAAGCATCCTAGGGAAAATGGGGACTAGGGAAGTTGCTG